TAGAATTTGTGAAGATTAACAAGTTTAAAATAAAAACAATAATAACATCACTGTTTCATTTTATTTTTAACTAAAATTGGTTTGGCCCCCAAAACACAGTTCAGATTTTTCATCTGCCCCCCCCCCTATAGAAATTAATTGCCCACCCCTGGTTTACACCCTTCTCTATCTTTGGCTGCTCTTACCTTTAATGTCACCCCTTCTCCTCACGATCCTCTCAGACAGCTGCTTTCATTCACCGAGCTGTTCTTGTAGCCACAGAATCCACTCTGGCTTTGAGCCCAACGGTCTCTCGGAGCATCTTTTGAATCCTCTGACCTCAGAGCCCATGGAAACTTTGGCATTGTGACTCCATTCCCTTGAATTCCATGCAATGCCCCATGGGCTGGTTTCTGTTTTCAGGTGACAAAATCAAGGAGGAAGATCATCTGAGTGGCAGGCATTGGCTTTCCATGCTGAGGATCACACCTATGATGTGCTCACCCAGTAACTGCTGGGGGAAAATGCCTGCAGGTTTAGACCCATGTTTCCTATTATCTCCCACTATATCGATAGATTTAGGGGAGAGTAAGCACTTGAATCCTGTCAAATCCTTAAGAAATGCAAGTAGTAAGTATGAAGATTTTAAAAAAATTATTTCACATTTTACTTCTTTGGTTCCTTAACACACACACAGAGAGAGAGAGAGAGAGAGAGAGAGAGAGAAGCAAAACAATTGAAAAGGATTCCCTTTTAAAATGGTGCCACAGGTGCCACAGTGACCAATTCCCATCCCCCCCCCGAACCGGCCAGGCTATTCATCGGGCTCTGTGTGGCGCTGGGGTTGTTCAATGTCATTGGCGCACCAATCCTGGCAGGAGCCCAGCTGGACGTTCCCCACCTCCCTGCACAGCCGTCCACTGCGTGGGGAGGCGGGGAAGGGATGGCTTGGGCTCCTGTCAGGATTGGCACAGCACCACCCCCACCCCCAAAGGACACCAGTGCTGTGTGGAGCCCAGTGATTCACCCAACTGGTTTTTTTTGGGGGGGGGGCTTAATTGGGCCACCACAGCACTTGTGGTGTTGGCAGGTCAAATTCGTGTCCTATCATATCTGCCCTCAGTCTTCTTTTCTCAAGGCTAAACATGCCCACTTATTTCAGTCTTTCCTCGCAGGGTTTGGTTTCTAGTCCCCACATAGAATACCTCTGAAAAATGGGGTGTGTTGGGAATTCTGCTTAGATTTTTGAAATGCTCACATACATGCTTTACTCAATGAGGACATGTGCCCATTAATGTGCCCATCTGAAAAATGCATACAAAAATTAGGTACGGTTTCGTATTTTTTTTCCCCCTCTAATAAACATTGGGTAGGCAACCATCACAGATAAGTCTTTCTCAGAAACGGACTTCAGAGATGGGCCAGCATAAAACCCACAGCATTCTTTCTCAAGCACATGACAGACTTGCCAAATGTTCTTGAGGCCATTAAGTATTCTACATCCTCAGTGGTGATAAGGATGTAATAATCAACCCAATGGAGTCCCAGGTGGCAGTGTTCAATCCACCCACTTTGTTTTTCCCATTGCTCAATATAGGGAGTCCATAATTTCTTTAACGGGGGCACTTCACTCCTGGAAGAAATAACCTAAAGATGAACAAGGTTCTGGTGATAGCAATCTTAGCCCTGGTCTACCTGGATGCAGGTAAGCCCAAATAGCAAGAAAAAGAAGGTGTCCACTTGGGTAGAAGCCACTAAAAAAGAATCATTAAATTGGATTAATTCATTAATTTCACAGTTTAGATCACTAGAAGAGAAAGGTCTCATAACAAAAGATGGCATTCTGTTTTTAAAATATTTTACAATATTTATGGATAGTTATATAAAATAAGAGCCAGCATTCGGTGATGGACTTCTGATAGATCCCACTCCTTCTTCCAGGATCTTCTTTTCTACAGGTTCCATGCACCCTAAATCCTGATTCAGAAGGTTGGAAAACCCTGTGACATAAGTATTTGGTGCCACAGTAGACTATAGCAAGCAGAGGTCCAGAAATACGAGTCAATTCCGCTGGTAATGGATAAAGGAGTGTATCTGTTAGACAAAAGTAAGATACACTCCTTTATCTCTTTACATTTTCTCTTTGGATCCAACTGCAGATGTGTTGTTCAAATAGTAAAGCTTGGACTTTGCTTGCAAGTTAAGATAGACACCAGCTGGGGGAAATGGCAGTTTGTGATAGTTTGTGATTTGTTGTTCACAAACCATGAACCACAAACTGTAACTAAATTTCCAAAAATCCGAACTAGTCTGTGGCTTGTTTGGGTTGGGAGTTCTGAGATCCATAGAACAGCCCCTGAGCAACGTAGAGATGCCAAACTTCCAGAGTCTTCAGCTGACTCTTCTCTCCACCCCCACCCACCACCCCCCAAGTTTGGCAAAGTTTGAATTTGAGATATTCAAGTTCTAGCCCCTCCAAAGCAGGTCCCCCAGGAAAGGACTGTTCAGCAGCTGGCTTGGGGGAAATTCAACTAGTGGTTCGTGCAAGGGAAATTAAGACAAGGTGTTGCTCATCATGAGGTAGACCAGGGAGGAACAACACCCTTCAGCCCGTGGAAAGGAAGACCATAGTTTTTGCACCACAACTGAGAAAGCTTTGTGACACACGCCTGTCAGTTCTTCCACACCTTGGGTCCAGGCAAGAAGGTAGGTTAAGACGAGAACTCAACCCCCTCAGCTATATTTCTACAACATACAGTGGTAACACTTCCAGCATTAATTTGCATCTCAAAAATCAGTATCACCTCCACACTGAAGGTTTTCAAACGTGTAGGGTGATTACCCATTCTGTCCCCTGCCCCAACGAGCCATTTCTGTAACTTCCCCTTGTTTCTTTTTATTCAGCTGGATCTCTCAAGTGCAACTATTGTCGAAATGTTCGACCTGGTAACGTTTGCAAACACGTTGAAAAAACATGCCAAGCAGGAAAAAGGAAATTTTGCTACAGTCGGATGACTGTTAAAGGTGAGTCACAAAACTAGCAGCTGTTACTATTAGAGAGCAGAAATTAAACAGGGCCACAGAATCTAAGCGAAGAATTCTGTCAATGTAAATCCACTGGCATAGTTTTCAGTAGTGCATTGTTGCTAGTTAAAGAGCTGGCATAAGCGTTTGTTTCATCACACCAATCTATGCGACTGTTCGTCCAATGCCTTTTCCCTTCGTTTAGGCATCAAGACCGTATCTAGATGATTGCTACATTTGTGTTATCGAAGCTCCTCTTTTCTCAAGAGTGTGATGTAGGGAAAATTCACAACATATCAAAACTGATATAAGTGAAATGCATGCATCCACCTGCAGTCAGTCTCTCTCTTTTACACACACACACACACACACACACACACACACACACACACACACACACACAGAGTCATTAATTGTTTAGCATATTAACCGAGCTAGATGAGAAAGAAAAAAAGAGAAAATTCTATAATGTGAATCCCAGTTAACAACAATGACACACAAATCTTTCACTTCACTTTGCACCCGTGTAACATGGGTGGCGGAGCAGTTGTAAAGGTATAGATACTTGGTGTGGCCTCAGTTTGAGCTCTACCTAGTACCTCCAGTGCTTTGGCCCATACAAAATTCAAAGTGTCAACAAGAAATCAACACAAGGTTATATCATTGGCTATCTGCTGGTATTACACAATCGGATCTTAGCTTTTGAATGATAAACTTCAAAGCAGTTTTGTTCCAATGCAAAAGGATATGTCCACCATGACTTAGTACCTCATGAGTATCTAGGATAATCTGTGGGTAGGATCAGGAGCTCAGTTGGTTGAGACCCACAGAAGGACAGGTCTAGCATAATTCAAGGTGGTTTCAACCACCTTAGCCATGGGGCATCTGAGGTTCCTTTTTAATCTAATTAGTCTTACTGGGGGAGATAGAGGTGAGCAAGACATTAGTCAGATAAGCTTCTTGATCATTGAATTGGGCTCCACGTTACATTGTTTTCTTCTTGCTGTCCTGTTCCAGGAGGCCATATAAAACGTGTGGAGCGTGGCTGTAGCCGTGTATGTATCAGCACAAAGTACCGGAATGTGCATAGAATGGCAAAGTATATGCTGTGCTGTGATGAAGACTACTGCAACAACCATAAGTTATGGAATGAGGAAAACTCTGGGAAATTAGGTGGACGTCCCTAGCCTCTTTCTAGCAATGTAAAGAATAATTGCAAAATTCTTTGTTCTCATTGATGGAGACTGTCCCAAGAGACAGCTTGACAGAGTATTTCCAAACCCCACAGGATGGCACTTCTTGCCTCTAGGAGAGAGTGAAACAAGGAATGTGTTTTTTTTCCTCATCCAAATATCCATAATTTGCACCAGTTCTGCAAAGTAGTGTCCTTTCTCCTTTGAGAAGCAACGTGCACACCATGCCCACACATATACAAACCTACACGCACTCACACACACAGAGTGAGAGGAGGGAGGGAGTGCACAGGATGATGGGTGAATGTTTTCAAAGAAGAACACAACCCCTTCAGATCTTCTGTCATTTGATTGCATTACAGCATTGTATGCATTATGTGTTAAGAGTTATTTGCACAATTCTTAATAATGTGCGCAAAAAGAGTCCTTTCTGTCTTCACTCTCTTCTTGCCAGTGCCATAAAATAGCCCCATCCCCTTGCAGTATGGGGATAATTATTTTGTGGTTCTTCATTAGAGATGGCCACGTGACCACAGAAACGGTCTACGGACAAACACTGGCTCTATGGCTTGGAGACGGGGATGAGCACTGCCCCCTAGAGTCGGACACAACTGGACTAAATGTCAAGGGGAACCTTTACCTTTAACTTTACCATTAAAGATGGGCATGAACTGAACTATGAAACATAAAAACCCACAAATTGGTCTGGGTCGTGGTTCAGTTTGCCATTTGTGGTTCAATTTGGGCATCCTGGTTTTGCCGAAATGAAACAAACTGCCGAACTTCCCCCCGTGCTTTGTTTTGTTTGGCAAAAGGGGATACGTGCCCGACTCTCCCCCTCCTGCTGCCTCATCCTCTCCCTACCCTGGCTTCAAAGTGCTGCCACTGCCTCTTCCTCCACTATGCCCTTCTCTGCTCTGCTCATCAATCTGAAAAACAAATTGCAAATCAGTTCATTGGGAGGAGTTCGTGATCATTTGTGGTTCGTTAGTAACCACAAACCACAAACCATCATGAACCACCAGCTTTCCTGTTTGTGCCCATCTCTATTCCTCATCCTTGTGTTTGAGGGTGAGACCATGGAGGATTTCTATCCCTACCTTGAGCTTTTTTTTTGATCCGTTCGCCCAATCGTTTGCCAAAAACAACAGGAATCCTTCTGCCAGTGGCCTTCCAGACTGTTGTACAGTAGCAGAAATGACTGAAATGTAAATGGATGGTTTGCTATAGTTCTGTTAACTTTGCTGACAATCCTAAGATTAGGTTTTGTTGTAGATTGTTTTATTTGTTGTTGTTTAGTCGTTGAGTCGTGTCCAACTCTTCGTGACCCCATGGACCAGAGCACACCAGGCCCTCCTGTCTTCCACTGTCTCCCAGAGTTGGGTCAAATTCATGTTGGTCACTTCAATGACAGTTTCCAACCATCTTGTCCTCTTCTCCTCTTGTTTTATTTACTAGTTAATTAAAGTTTTAGAAGAGTAGTCATGTTAGTCTGTGCAAGTGTATCAGGCAAAACCCAAAGAAAAAATAATTAAAAAGACAAAAGACAAAAACTTTGTAGCACTTTAAAAACTAATTGTTATATTTTAATGTGAGCTTTCATGGACAAGTCAATTTCTTCAGATACATGAGGTAAAATACAGAGTTCACACAGTAATACATCCGTACCCAGCTTTCTGATACAGTGGTGTATGGTTGCATTTTAAACATGCAACAATTTATGACCTATGTTTTGTGCTCAGTTCTTTTGAAATCTGGTTTTGTAACCATTCCCAGAAGATAATTACAGATAATTAAAGATGATGATTGGAAACCCCTTTGTACTGAGCTAAGACAAATATATCACTAGTCTAAAATGATGCCGAAGCAAGGGTTTCTTTGCTAAAATGCTTAGGGATGGTTGCATCAAACGCAATCTCTCTGCCCCCTGATCAGTGTGAAACATGGTTTCAGCACCAAATATGATTTTCCTGTGTTGTTAGAGTAACATTTGTTTTCTAGGCCATTTCTGATATGCGTATAAGCTATATTCATTGAGATTCTCATTGTCTATCCTATTCATTTCAAACCCGAAAGGAATACATTGTACTTTATGTTTCTGCGAACTTCCATTAGACACTCAAATAAATCACTGACAAGACAATGCCATCCACTTACCTGCTGAGTTTGTTGTGTAATTTCTCCAGGTCCTTCCTGAAACATAATTCCCTGTAAGTACTTCAATTACTAAAACAAGCAATTGTAGAGAAAATGTTCACTTTTGTTGACTTCTATTTTCTGTTGTCGGATATTTGAGGGAAATGATTTCAACTACTCTATGCAACCTCGATTATTTCTGTGGGCACCACCAGGCCCTTCTCTAGTAGTGCTGGTGGAGTCTGAGTCTCCCAGCAATAATTCCATGGGCTCCAGGTTGTGAGAATGACCAAGAACAGACTTTATTGCAACCAAGGAGCCAACAGAAACAGAAACGCTCTCCTTAACTTCCTCTTGGAGCTTCCTGGTTCCATGCAAAGCTTCTCCTGAAAGTCCTTATCTCTGAAAGCAGGAGGGGGGGGATGAGTCCTGGCTTGCTTGAATCCCTTTCAAGGAGGGTTCTCCTGAAAGTCCTCATCTCTGAAAGCAGGAGGGTCCTGGCTTGCTTGAATCCCTTTCAAGGACAGATGGCAATGCCAGGTGGTGGCTACTGAGGCTCGCTCTTCTGCTCCTTCTGGAGCCTTGTCTGCCTCTTGCACTTGTGCTTCAGTTGCCAGCACTTCAGCTGGGGTGGGGTGGGTGCCGTTGTCCGTGTTGGACAATACAGCACCAAGGTCATGTTGGAGGTGCAATAGGCTCCTAGAGACTGGCCCAGGTCTCTTAATCTGGAACCACTTCCCCCAAACAATGGGTGGGGCTCAAGGACTTCACCCCCAGGGCACCTTCCTCCTCCTCACTTCCGTATCTCTGCTCTTGCCTTCATTTCTCCAAGTTCTTTTGCAGCAGTTGTATCCACTGACTGTCCTAGGGATGCCTTCCCTCGGGGTCCAGTTGTGATCTGGCTGTGATAACTGTGGTCTTGGAAAGCTGCTAAACAGCTCAATTTCCTACAAAATGTAAGGAAACGTTTGTTTTTGCAAAAAAAAAAACAAACCTTGACCCATGTAACAACAAATACCTTCCCTTTCCATCCTTGTTGCGAAGGACTCCACATGAAGCACTCCACATGCTTTATGTCTGGCTGTAGCTTTAGGCCCTGATGTTTGGCCCTCAGGCAGAGGAAGAAGATGGGACAATGGCCATAAACCACTTCTTATGTGGACCTCCAGATCTCTCTGCTCCCCTTAACACGGCACAGCTCTTAAACAAAGAAGTTCGTTTCTGCAGACTTTGGGAAATCCACTGAGCAGCAAGTACAGATGTCTTAGTGCCAACCTTCCCACTATAATAGAATTCATTATACTTTTATTTAAATCATTGTCGTGCCCTGTGTTAGCGCTTTATCACAGTGTGGAGGTGACTTTGGGCTCCCAAAAGCTAAGCCAGCACAACACCAGGTCTGATAGACTTGACCAAACAAGGCTTCTAGGATTATTCTAGTAGAGTACTGCCTGTTTACTGTCTATGGATCTGCTTAATCAGAAGCTAATTACCAATGGGTTGGCCACAAGGGGTGAATCACCCATCGTGCCTGTGAACCTAATAAGGATGTGGACTAGTTGTTGGCCACAAGGGGTGAATCACCCATAGTGACTGTGAACCTAATAAGGATGTGGACTAGTTGCCATCTGGACCAGTGAAGGGACTGTGTGGCTCTCTTAGGTATTCTGGATCCAAGCAACCACTTCTACCTTTAGATTTATAGATTTAATTTAGCACTTGCATATTTTGGACTCACCCATTGTTCTCTTTGGTCCTCTTTCCTTGGCAGTCTATAAATGGAAACCTTATTCAGAAGAAGGAAACCCCAAAGTTTAGGAGATAAATTCAAACAGACAAGAGGATGTTCTGCACTCAGCCTGTACTTCCCGGAACAGTCATTAAAACTCAAGAGATGAAAAATGGCTTTTTGAGCAATAGACCTCTGGTATCCAAGGGATTTTAGTCTGTATTTAAATGGATTAAACAGAGGGATCACACTAGCTACATGACAGTGTAGAACGCTTAGTTTATTCCCCAGCCCTTCAGTATTTCTCCTTCCTCCAGCTCAGCAGAAGAAAGAGAGAAAAACATGAATAAACTTCAACTCATCTGTTTTTTAGTTCTCCTCCTCTCTTGCAGCTTGGGTGAGTATGTGCTCCTAGCTGAAATTTTCCTCAAACCTAAAAGCGTGCAATTCCTTCATGATGCACCATTTATTTGACCAAAACTGTGCACAATTGTTCCCAGGTAAATGTCCCTCCTGAATTTTGAGTCTCAGTTGCTCAGTATGATTTATGAAATGGAAGCTTTAAGTACCCTCCATTATTTAATATGTGTTGTGTGTGTGTTGATGTGAGTGCATGGATTTTGTACAAAGGCTCATGTATGCCAATTTGATTCCATTTAATTCACCGGCTCAGTTTGTGTCGGTCGCACCATCCACTCAACTTTCAGACACACTGGATGTGTGTGGAACCACCATCCTGCTTGTCATATTTGTTATTGCACCATCATCTTTTATCCCTCTGTTTAATCTACAGCAGCTCTACAATTGATTGATTCTGGGACATTACATGGACCAACACGATACAAGTAGCTACTGCCCAGCAGGATGCGCTAAAATGGAGGACATGGTAGATTTTTCTAACAGAGAATGCCCACTTTATTCAAATTTGAGGAATCACTACCTTAAATCATGATTTTCTAACAGAGAATGCCCACTGTATGCAAATTTGAGGAATCACTACCTTAAATCATTAAGATCAACTCCCTTTTGTTTATATTTTTATTTCTGCTAGCTGACACTTATTAGGTATTCTATGGAACCACTAAATTTATTAAACGAGCCATGGAAAGGCAGAATTCACTCCCTGCCTTGCAGTTTCTACAAGTTAATCTTGATACTTACTTGAGAATGCTGATTTTGTTATGTTATGCTTTCTGATTGTTTATATGTATTTATATTAGATGTCAACTATTCACTTTCAAAGAGTGGTTTGCTTTCTGTTTATGCACACAGCCTGACTGGTTATGAAGCAATAAAGGAAAGGAAAATAATTTATATCTGCCTTTCTCCCTATAAAAGGAATCAAAGTAGCTCACAAAATATTTGAAAAACAAACACAGTTGGGAAAAGAAATAGCAAATCACAGTATTAGTAAGTCGTTGAACATACGATCTTTAAAGAACTCACATCTTCCTGGTCATTGACTGTAATAATAAATACATTTTAAAAAACACTCAAATAATAAGAATCATTTTTTAAAAACTGAAAATCACATTGAAAAACATGTTTAAAAGAAGGTTGTAATTTTCTGGGGTTATGCAAGTGTTGTTAAAAAAAAACCTTTCTTACAGTTTCCCTGAAGTCAAGAACCATTTCTTTCAGTTAAAACAACTTCTGATTTCAGCTGGACAAGCAAAGAGAGGCCTGGGGGGGGGGTCTGTCATCTCTAGATCATTATCTAAAACACACACACACACACACACACACACACACACACAAACACACACAAACACACACACCTGCAAAAACAGGGCTGCTCATAAATACACAAACATAGACATATCTGTACTTATGACTGTAAATGAAACCGCAACAAAATAACACACTAGATACAATCACAACAAAATTGTTCCATTTTTTGTCTTGTTCTGACAGCCGGCATGAATGCATCAGTGTTGTGAGGGAGGAGTATAAATGATTTGAGAGAAGTGTTAAACAAAACCGCTTATGCAAAATTAATGTAAGAAATTCCTTTAAGTGAACTAGAACTGATATGGAGTAGAATCTGGGAGTGTTTGTAACAATTCAGTTTAGCCTGTTTTGTAATAACAGTTTGTTAGGCTGGAAACAGGCATTCAAAGACATTTTAGAAGGAGGGGGGGAATTAAAATCCTTTTTGGTCTTACAACATTTAAGCAGCATTACCTTCTTTGTGGATATACAGTCACTACAAAAGGAAATGTGTGTTTCCATTTAAAATTCTGTATTGTTTGCTGATTAAGTCCCCAATATCCCATGATGCAGTTATTCCTCTCCAGTGAGTACATGCACGTAGGTATCTCACGTCATTTAGAGAAATACACATATGTTGTTGTGTTAAGCCAGTGGTTCTCTGGACCCATCTAGAAATAAGTGGAGATAAGCTGCATTACTCACAAAAGTTTGAATCTCTCTCTCCAATGCTGCCTGTCTTGTGATTTCTGTCACTGCCTGGAGATCCAGACAAGCTCATCTAGGAATGGACAGGGCAAAAAGTTTAGTATTTCTTCTGTTTAAGATCTTTCGAGGTCTCCCTTTTCAGGTACAGACACTTTCAGGAAACCTAAAAGTACCAGAATCTTTCATGTTCTTTTGTTTTGCTTTTCCAGTCTTGATTTCTGGCATTAGACCCACTTAACCCCTTCAGAATCTTAAGGTAAAGGTAAAGGCAAAGGTTCCCTTTGACAATTTGTCCAATCGTGTCCGACTCTAGGGGGCGGTGCTCATCCCCGTTTCCAACCCATAGAGCTAGCGTTTTGTCCAAAGACAATCCTCCGTGGCCATTGTGGCTAGACACAGAACACTGTTTACCTTCCCACCGTGGTGGTACCTATTTATCTACTCGCATTTTTGCATTTTGCATGCTTTCAAACCACTAGGTTGGCGGGAGGTGGGACAAGCGACGGGGGCTCACTCTGTCATATGGATTCGATCTTACGACTGCAGGTCTTCTGACCTTGCAGCACAGAGGATTCTGTAGGTTAACCCGCAGCGCCACTAGTCCCAAAAACTACTCCCCAAAAAGCAGAGACAAAGCAACAGACCATCTTTGACTCCAGAATTGAGCACCAGCAACGATACGTGAAAATGGTTGTTGTGGGTTTTTCGGGCTCTTTGGCCA